TTGCAAAATACCTGATGTTTGATAATATATCTCATTCTCATCTGTTATTGATATGAGCCCAATCAGTTGAGTATTTAGTCTGGCCAGGTGAGAAGTACTCTTATGTCTTCACGCATTTATCCAACAAGTAACATACAACAACTAATTATATGTCGACAAATAAACATTTGAATGATGAAGAACAAGAAGGTACTTGTCGATGGATTCCCTAATCGTTTAATAGGCAAGATAGTTCGATTGTTGAAAGAAGAATTCACTCGAAAAATAATCATGTTTGTCCTCTTGAAACATTTTTTAATGATGCAAAATGAGAATTATTAACTTGATTATCTTATTCAATCAATTAAACATGTTTGACATGACTTTCAAAGTCCATTAAATTGCGTAGTCAATTTCAAACAATTCACTCTACGCACGTGTCTCAACTCGACTGATTCTCTAATGGAATCTAATCTTCATGTTTTCCTCTTCAACTATTCGCTTTCTTCTGATGTGACATATTCAATAAGCCCGCCCAATCTGTACTGAATTCGAATCAAACAAATCGATTTCCGCACATGTATGTTGCATTACATGAAATCAGAACGTTTGAAAGATATGCTGGACGCCACTTTTCTTCTTCTCTTACGTCAATCACCCGTGGTGTGCGCGCTATGTTTTGCGAATGGCTTAGCATCGATCTAGCGACACGTGTGTACAACGATTGCGTCACTCCCTAGGTTGACAACGAAATATATTTAACAAGTAGCTACTTGAATCGATTGCTTTTTCTTTTCCGTTCGACTTCGAGGAAATTCGCTAAACTAGCTTCAATTATCACTGTTTCTTCAAAATACAATTACGTTCATAAACACATTGTATACATGTAAATCAGATCATTTCGACTTGAGTAAATAATGCCACCTACCTGGTTGTCGATGTATTGTGCAATTAATTTAATGTTCGAAAAACAAAACTGTGAATAACCTACGATAGTAAAAATAGTCACCTGGCCGTTGAATGTCTATTGTGATGATTGTCTGACTTTTTACTCTCTGTCTCTTTTCTTTTCTTTTCAATTTTCTCACATCTAAAGTGTTTCTTTGTGTCCTTATTTCTTTGTGAAAATGACTGCCACAGGCAGTCAGTCAGATTTATATTAAATATATACATACAAGTTGACTAAAGAAAATATGAAACATGTTTTGTTGTCTCGGTTCAATTATCTGCTAGAATCGGTGATTCTTTTCAAAGGTCTTATTTTCTCTTTAAACTTTACTAGTCGGTTATATATCGATCAAATATTGACATAGGCGATACGTGAGATGACATTTTTTCTCTCTGCTTTTAGCTAGTCGTTGTGCCAACATTTCATCCACTTGTAGTCTCTATCCAGCTGCGTCCACCACTTCAAACTGACATTGAGAGTAGGGCCCGTTTTGGTCTCGGACGACAACGATGAGATGATTGAATTTAACATGCAAATAGAATTAGGCATATCCAATAGAAAAAGAAAGCTTTTGATAGAGACGCAGTAAGATTTTTTTTTCTTCTAAAAAAACAATAAGAAGGAATTGCACGACAAAAAAAGAAGAAGAAGAGAAGAAAAAGAAAAGAACGAATCAAAATAGACGAGTTTCAAAGAATGTTTCTGGAATTAACGTGGTTCATGTTTCAATAAGTGAAGAGATGAATGAGGATGTAAATGATGTCCATGAGGAAGTCGTTGATGGCCTGCTGCTGGAATCGGTATTTGCGAATGAAACATATTTGATTGCATTTGCGATGGATGTTGATGAGGATTGCCTGTTGATGATTGTTCGTCACTGCTATCGGCGCAATTACTTCCATTTTTCTCTTTTGTTGCTTTCTTTGTTTTATACCGATGATTCTGAAACCAGATTTTAACTTGTGTCGATGACAAACTGAGGGAATGTGCCAATTGGTCACGATCTTGAGCGTTTAAGTATCGATTTTTATCGAAGCGTTTTTCCAATTCCATGACTTGTTGTTGAGAAAACAGAACTCGACGTTTACGTTTTGGCGTAAAAGCAAATGGATGATAAGCAGATTTTAGCGGATCAACCATTATTGATGATGCTGCAGCAGCCGATTGATACATATCGTATTGGGAAGGTGTTTGACCAGTTAATAAACGAGACACTAGAATAGAATCAAATATACAAAAGAATTGAAGTCTTCTTTTCTTTCGTACTTGCAAATCTTGGATCTGCGCAGTGTGTTGGTTGATACCATGAATTGGTTGATGCATTAGTTGTATTCGTCGGTGATGTTGATATTGGATTGGTTGTCATTGTATTATTCGTTGTTTGTGCGCGATAAGGTGTTTGACAGAAATAATCCGAATATGTACGCGCTTGACTTGAAAAATACGATGTGGCAGCATCCGAATAGAATTGATATGGTACACCCGTAGGAGAGAAATGACTTGCAAAAGAATTCTGATAAATTGTTGGATCAAAAGATGATATTTGAGGTTTTTTCATATTATTATTATTTGTTGGATAAGTTGAACATCCATCATCGAATGTTGAGAAGAATGGATCGTATGCTGTTGAGGGTGGTATTGATATCGATGGTGTATTGGTAGCATCCTCGAGGTTAGCTGATGACGAGGAGGCTGGGAGAGGGATAGTCGTTGATGTTGACAGAGATGTGGATCTTGAAGGTGGCGATGAAGAATCGTATGACATGATTTCAATGTATCCTGAAACATGATTGAAGTTTTTTTTTTTAGGATGATTTGTTGAATGAATATTATTGAAAATAAATGATGTCGATGAAGAAAGAAATGAAATGCGAGAAGAAAAGAGAGAAAGAAGAATTGGCCACTTACCGTGTTCGAACGAAGGCGTGCGGGATGAGAGATGCTCTGAGAAGGCTCTCAGAAGGCTTTCGAGATCGATTGAAGAGGTTCGACTCCACTCACGACACGGGCAAATATGTGCGTGTGTATATGTGCTACTTATTCGTTCTCACTCTTTTTTTTCTCTACGTTTTTTTTCACATACACAAACGAAGACAAAAGAGACCTCTTGTCTACGTATTGAGAATAATCATTTCCTCTCGTTTTCTCTCTCTTTTTCGCTTGCATTCACTCTTCTTTTATTTCTCTTTTGCTATTCCTTTGCTCGCGATTGGCTGAAATGTCAATAGATTCTCATTGGTCGAGAAAGCTCGACGTGCAACAAAAGCAAAGCAAAACAAGAAAGGAGGGAGGGAAGGAAAGGAAAGAAAATCTCGAATGCTTATCAAAGATTGTAAATCAACAGTAACAGAGATTTGTTACACATTGGTGACAATTAGTCTTCTCATCGATTGATTACTGCTGAGACTGATGTGAAGAATACTTGAGTTGAATCGTAAAAAAAGAAACGATATGTAGAGACATTCTCATTGTGGATATCAAATAAATGAAATTTCGAAATTAATTTAAACGCACACCCGCTGAGATCTCGACGAAAGACACTTGTCATCAACAAGTAAATATCATATCTGATTATTTCCAATGAAAATATTAATAATCACACGAAGAAAGCTCATGTTAGAATTTTCGTTTGTGAAAGAAGTATTGCTCAGGGATATAATTTTTGTCGTTCTGCCCGTTTCTATAGAAATATTCTACTCGGATTTCCTTGCCATTTTACTTTTGCTTTTTTTAATAATACAAATACAGTATAGAACGAAAAGAAGAACGGAAGACACAGTCGTCTAAAGTGTTTATTTTCAGAATAGAAGTTATGAGAAAAATATTTCAACGGAGTTTGTATTCTAAGGTTTCAATTTATGTTGTGTTTTAAACCATTAACTAGAAATCTTATGCATAGAGAAGAGAATGACGTTCAGAATTTAAACAAATACTTGAATTAAAAAGCAAACGACACTCGGCCATGTCAACATGTACAGTCTGATCTTCATTATAATCTAAAAGAAAATGTTCCTCTCNCCAATCTGTACTGAATTCGAATCAAACAAATCGATTTCCGCACATGTATGTTGCATTACATGAAATCAGAACGTTTGAAAGATATGCTGGACGCCACTTTTCTTCTTCTCTTACGTCAATCACCCGTGGTGTGCGCGCTATGTTTTGCGAATGGCTTAGCGTCGATCTAGCGACACGTGTGTACAACGATTGCGTCACTCCCTAGGTTGACAACGAAATATATTTAACAAGTAGCTACTTGAATCGATTGCTTTTTCTTTCCCGTTCGACTTCGAGGAAATTCGCTAAACTAGCTTCAATTATCACTGTTTCTTCAAAATACAATTACGTTCATAAACACGTTGTATACATGTAAATCAGATCATTTCGACTTGAGTAAATAATGCCACCTACCTGGTTGTCGATGTATTGTGCAATTAATTTAATGCTCGAAAAACAAAACTGTGAATAACCTACGATAGTAAAAATAGTCACCTGGACGTTGAATGTCTATTGTGATAATTGTCTGACTTTTTACTCTCTGTCTCTTTTCTTTTCTTTTCAATTTACTCGCATCTAAAGTGTTTCTTTGTGAAAATGACTGCCTGTGGCAGTCAGTCAGATTTATATTAAATATATACATACAAATTGACTAAAGAAAATATGAAACATGTTTTGTTGTTTCGGTTCAATTATCTGCTAGAATCGGTGATTCTTTTCAAAGGTCTTGTTTTCTCTTTAAACTTTACTAGTCGGTTATATATCGATCAAATATTGACATAGGCGATACGTGAGATGACATTTTTTCTCTCTGCTTTTAGCTAGTCGTTGTGCCAACATTTCATCCACTTGTAGTCTCTATCCAGCTGCGTCCACCACTTCAAACTGACATTGAGAGTAGGGCCCGTTTTGGTCTCGGACGACAACGATGAGATGATTGAATTTAACATGCAAATAGAATTAGGCATATCCAATAAGAAAAGAAAGCTTTTGATAGAGACGCAGTAAGATTTTTTTTTCTTCTAAAAAAACAATAAGAAGGAATTGCACGACAAAAAAGAAGAAGAAGAAGAAGAGAAAAAAAAAGGAAAGAACGAATCAAAATAGACGAGTTTCAAAGATTGTTTCTGGAATTAACGTGGTTCATGTTTCAATAAGTGAAGAGATGAATGAGGATGTAAATGATGTCCATGAGGAAGTCGTTGATGGCCTGCTGCTGAAATCGGTATTTGCGAATGAAACATATTTGATTGCATTTGCGATGAATGTTGATGAGGATTGCCTGTTGATGATTGTTCATCACTGCTATCGGCACAATTACTTCCATTTTTCTCTTTTGTTGCTTTCTTTGTTTTATACCGATGATTCTGAAACCAGATTTTAACTTGTGTCGAGGATAAACTGAGTGAATGTGCCAATTGGTCACGATCTTGAGCGTTTAAATATCGATTTTTATCGAAGCGTTTTTCCAATTCCATGACTTGTTGTTGAGAAAACAGAACTCGACGTTTACGTTTTGGTGTAAAAGCAAATGGATGATAAGCTGACTTTAGTGGATCAACCATCATTGATGATGCTGCAGCAGATTGATACATATCGTATTGAGAAGGTGTTTGGCCAGTTAGTAAACGAGACACTAGAATAGAATCAAATATGCAAAAGAATTATTGAAGTCTTGTTTTCTTTCGTACTTGCAAATCTTGGATCTGCGCAGTGTGTTGGTTGATACCATGAATTAGTTGATGCATTAGTTGTATTTGTCGGTGATGTTGATATCGGATTGGTTGTCATTGTATTATTCGTTGTTTGTGCGCGATAAGGTGTTTGACAGAAATAATCCGAATATGTACGCGCTTGACTTGAAAAATACGATGTGGCAGCATCCGAATAGAATTGATATGGTACACCCGTAGGAGAGAAATGACTTGCGAAAGAATTCTGATAAATNTGAGAGAATTATAAATAGAAAGAATTTTAATTGGCTATGGAATCTTTGTCAATTTTCAATGATGAGAAAGAAAGAAAGGGGACACGATTGGTCAAAATGTTTTTCTCAAAACGAGTCATTTATCACAAGTTTTTACTTGCTAAACTTTTTTGATTTTGTTTAAAGAAAAAAAAACAATATCCGCAAGTAAACGGAGCTCATATGTTACCTAAAGTATGCACTTGTCAATGATGATCATATAATAGCTTCAAAATTACTCACATTTATATGCGTGTACAGATCGGAAACTGTGAACAGATGTTTTCTTTCAACGGAATTTAATATTGTAATGACGTTTTGTTCAAATTTATGACGAAAAAGAAAGTAAAACATTTCTAGTTCGAACTACATCATGTTTAAATATTCGGTTTGCAAATCAATTGAATTTATTTATTTTGTCAAAGACAATAACAGCCAACGTAAAGAATAACATGCCATTCAACATTTGAAGGACTACACATGTCTCGAACAAATGCTGGAATAATACTTATCGTTGAGAGTAAACTGTCCGTTGAGCAAAAGCTAAACTAAATCTTCAGCAAAATATATTTACATAGGACTTTTAGTCAAGTGTTATCATTTGTACTTGGAATATATCGAAACTGGATCATTTAACGTAAAAGAAAGAAGATTTCGCATTTCATGCTTTTAAAACATTCTTTGTTATGCGTAACATCGATGGAAGTCAACTGATGGGAACAATCAGCAGATGGTTTGGGATGATAATATCGATTGAAAACATAGGTGTGAGAATCGGAAAGTGTCTGGAACTACATACACAAGCGATTCATTCTCCTTAAAGTAATATCATGTTGAAGTCGATTGTTTGCCTTTGTTTTCTTGCCTTAGTAACAGTTAACGCTGTTCGATTTGAAGTTAGTTTCAATGTTCCAGCTAACTCTGCCTTACTTTCGAATGTGTTTAGCTAAATGACAATGCTCGTCGTTTCTTGGCTAGCGCAAAGTCATCTAATCTACCCGAATCCGTTCGATTATCATTGATTAAACACGAAGGCCGTGGTCCAAGTGATTCGTCGTACGTGACGAATCGTATTTCTTTACTTTTTTCTAAATTATCTGTAATAGACATTGGTGTTGCATTAATGAACAACCGATTACAACTGAAACTCAAACCAGAATCGAATATGCCACACACGCTGTCGCAACCAAAACAAAAGTTCGTTTCGAAGTCGACTAAGAACAGTTAATCACATCAGACTGCATTTAGGTTGGTTATGTCGATTGTGGCTTTATGGGAATGATGAAATGCAGTAACTATGTGACAAGCTATAAGTTTGTTTTCGATTTACCTAGAAAATTTCATTGCGTTTTGAAATATTTAGAACGGAAACATATTCATTCATACAAACATTTCAAGTACCTAACATGGCTGCATGCAGCACTCACGAAATGAAATGTTGTTCAGGTTATTTATTGGTATGATCATCTTTACTGAGAAGGAATTTTCGAATGAAATGAATCCTGAACATGTATTTAGGTCACCGGTAACTGTCATAGTATTCAGGATTTATCTGCAAATCAAGAATTGTTCCAATTTTTATTCGGTCTTGGTTTACTCGGATCCACGCCCGGCAAATGAATGATCATTTGAAATAAAATAAAACAAAGAAAAAGAAGGTTATATTCTTCCGAGATGAAATTTATTTTACTGCACTTTTTCGCATCGTTCGAATAGAAAATTCGTCGACGTTTTTTCTAAGAAGTATTTGAAAGACTCTTTAGAGGCGAACAAAATCTTGAGATATTAATGTCACGCGTCGATGATGACGACCGGGAAGTCACTCGTCGTTTCACGGAACTTCGTGTTACCACAGAATTGTTTCGTGTCATATGTGGATGAAAGAGAATTTGTAACGTTTTTGCACGAATAATCGAACTTGTCATCAACAAAATCGGAAAATGTGAACAATGATGAATGATCTCCATGAGATCTAAGAGTATCGAGAGATTATTGGTTGGAATTCGTTCACCTTGAAAAGTTGCCAAGGCACCTAGAATACCAATAGGTGACGTCAACAACAGAAATGCTACACTTGAAAGTAACATGTAAAGTATGACGCTCCGTTCTTTCCAGTCATCGTTCTTATACGTTCCAAAACGGGTTCGACGTTGATGCGAACGCCGACGTAAACCGATCATCAATGTAATGTTTGTTGCAATGATAATTAATGGCAGTACGAAATTATTTAAACCAATATTTTCAATAAATAATAAATTACTCAAAGAAAAACGAATACCGTATGCGTTGTAAAATGCATTATCACATGAAAATAAGATTTTCCTCTTCTCTATATCAAAGTAACAATAAGAGACATCATATGGCCAGAAAAGAAATGGATGATTGTAAATAATCACAAGTAGAAGAATGCAAATCGTGGTTAAACATGCAGTTCGACGACTCATCAAAGCTCGACGGTCAGTCGACCATACTTTCAAATTTCGTTCTATACCTAAATAGATAACTTACTGAGAATGCTTGTCGAAGTCCTAATATTACGTCGTTCCTTTATTCTCATCTTTAATTATGTACGACATCGGATACTCTTCTTTCCACTTCTAATTTATCATGACTTTCATTGAAAGCTACCCTCTTTTGGTATTGATGTCATCTAGAGTATCTTTTCCTCAAAATAGATCGAGAAGGCGTGTACATGCATGCCTTACCTAATGCACAAAGGAAAGCATACGATGAATTTTCACTTGTCATCGTTAGAAACCATGTCACTGAACATACAAAATAAGGATGTTGAATGTGGAAAAATAACAGATGAACGGTATATTCGGCTGATAGTTTGATGATGTCCGCAATGGATAAAGCAATAATAAATATTGAATATGGAGTATTAGTAAGTGACTTTGCGCGACAAAATAATAAACACGAACATAGATTAAGAATTGTACCAAGAATAGTTAATAAACAACCGAAGGTAAAATAGAATACGATGACATTCGAATCTGCGCGTGCGTTACATGATGTATTCATTGTATGATTTCAGCACTCCGTCTGTCAAAAGAAGTTCTCGGATAGTATTATATCTGTCTATCTATCTGTCTAGAGGAAAGAAAAGGAATATATGACATTCATCATTCTTCTTTTGTCATCAAGAAAACGATGAAAGCGGATTTTAGACGAATACTTGAAGCTAGTCTGGAGTATTGGAGTTGCCTACGAGACGCAAAATGAACGGACGTGTTGATATTTCAGAGTAACTGTTTTCAGTGCTTGAGTCTCATGCGAAGCGAAGCTATATCTTTGTACGAGCTTAATGAGGCAAAAGAATACCGACGTCGAAGATTTCTGAGACTATTGCCAATTATGAATGATAGACGTGTTCAATCGAGACAGATAATCATTGCTCCTGCTGAAATGATGACTGCACTTGAACATGAGAAAGAATCTCTCTCAAATAGGATCATTTGTCATTCGTTTTGTCAACAAAATCAAAGTACTGTCTTCGTTGTTGTTCTGTTGACCCTAGAATTCAATATTAGATCGAATGGCATATCTTTATACTGACTATTTTCTGACTACTCAGAAAACATCATCGCTAGTCTGTTATGTAAATACTACTTAAGACGGCTATTGATGTAGTATATTAACCTCAAAGACGAACGAGAAAAACAGATGAAATGTATTTTGATCTTATTGCATAGGATGTTTTTCACGATCTCTGCTATGTCTTACTTTATTGACAATGGAGAAACTAGTATTCTTATCGTAGACAATACTCTTAATCTTTGCATTACATTGTATTCTTCGTAATTGAAAATGTTCCTTCGCAGACGATAATCATCAGAGGACATCATTATATAACATATGCAACGAGCTATATTTACACAAATGAGTCTGAAGATCCCATAGTGTTTTATTATAACAACTGCCAAAAACAACTAGCATGCCCGGAGAGTCAATGTCAATATGTCCTAGTATTTTCAAAGTAATATTCTGTTGGCAAGTCTGTTTGAGATGTACAATTATTCTTGGAAGAAAAAGATTTGACTTATTACGCCTGTGTATGACTGACGTCAGTGTATGTGAAGTGCTTAATTACAAACGACGTTGGATTTGGTCTTACTTGTCTCTTATATCAAGGAATTCATCACGGTAGGATTTCGAATTCCAATATGTGGAAGAGAAAAAATAAGCAAGAAGTAGGTGTTTACAATAATATTAAACACGTGTTTCTTTCTATCAAACGGAATAAATCAAAGAAAGAAATTCGGAAAATCTTATCTTGATTATGCTACTACTCGCCGTCATTGACTGTTATGTTCTACTGTCTTTTGTCTAAGGCATGATCTTGATAGATGATATTTATCTTCATTATTTAAACATGAAGATTGATGATAATCAATTGAAATATAAGAATAATCGAGAAATCCAGACCGTCTTTATTATTTATAGCGATTGAGCTATCAAATATTGTTGTATTTTGTATTCAGTTGTTGGAAAAAGACAATTCAGGGGGGTTGGATCTCCTCTACCAACACTCCACTTAAGTCCTTTTGCGTGCGTATATTAATAGAAACGGAAGGGGCTTGGTGAAAGTGTGTACACTCATGACAATCCTTCAAATGTTTATATGTTCTGTCGATGTAAGTCGCATCTTCACGAAATAACGCATATGTTTTCTTTCATATGACGAGAAAGTATTTCATTTCGATGATAAATATATATTTTATTGGAAAACGTGAGACACAAGAAAATAGTGTAACTGTATTCGCAAAAATGGTTACTTATTAGAATGAAAATGTCTTTATTTAGAGTTAATATTTAAAGTGTGATACGATCGTATCTATATACACATAATAAAGCAAAGTGTATAAAAGAATTACGACCATGCTTCCCATTCATCATCAAATTCATTCGTATTTTTCTTCTCCGTTGATGATGCTACTGCTGCTGCTGTCGTTGTTGTTGATGCCGACAAATTATCCGATGTAACTGTTTCTGCAGATTGGGTAAGAGGATCAGCGTCTGATGCTGATGGTAGGGATGACGAAGCAACATCTGTTTCATCGAATTCTCTATCCCAACTATCACCTACGAGTACGAAACCGATTGTTTCTGCGATTACTCAATGAACGTCTCTACCTGTATCACTTTCACTACGTTCATTAGATGGTTTTTCAAAAGATGAATCCGTGTGTATCGTTTCCTGTTGTTCTTCATGATGTTCGACAGATGCAATTACAGCTAATGGCTCTTCAGTTGTCTTCAGTGCTTCTTCTGAAGTGTTCTCTTCTATACAATCAAGATAAAATAAGTCAGCAAACAAAAGTTTGCTCGATTTTACCGGGTTCATCCCAATCGTTAGCATTGTCTTCTCCTGCATTATCATTGGTTTCCGAACAGATTTCATGAGCACGTCGGAGCAACTGCGTACGTCTTGCTTCTTCTTCTTCAAGTTGATGCACGCGAAAATAATATCGAGACCAAAAATCAACATGCGTGGTCTGTGCTGGAACAAGATTTGCATAGAAGGAACGTACATGAGGAGCATCGATTAATAATTGTGCAATATCGCCTTTCCGATCATCAACATTAAACTCCGATGTTTGACGCCAAGTTTCATACGCCTCAGTTTGTACAGGATCAGTTAAATATGTTGATTCGTCATTTTGTAATCGAGTTAATTCACTCTGAAATTTCAAATACTATACATGACGAAACATCAGACTCAATAGTATATTACATGAATGCGATCGAATGACGGTTTAAGAGAACTAGGTTTTTCTGTATTCTCTTCGGTCTTGTCAGCACCACTTATTTTCGATACAAATCGATTGATACCGAGATCTCCAACCTAAATAATTCAATCTGTTATGCCAAGAACTGAGTGTAAGAAAAGAAGACGAACATACTTCTTGACTTTTAATTTTAGCTATGTAAGATTCTGTATCATTTTTGACTACTGTTGTAAATTCAGTCAAATCTCGGCGAACAAATTCCAATGCATCTGCTGACTACAAGAGCACGAAGCGATATCTATCTTCTCGTTCGAATCGAATATACCCTACTTTATCACGAACTGTTTGAAGAGCTGATGTAAGCCAACTCGTCATATTCGAAAAATCTAGAAGAAAAATCAAACAAAAGTAGCACATCAGAGCATGGAAAATTACTGTTTCAATCAAAAAATATCTTAGTTTTATTTTGTTCATTATATGAATCGATTGTCAAATGAAAATGAAAGAATGTCAAGCTATTGCACTCGGCTTTAGTCATTACAAGAAGAAATAAATGTACACAATGGAAAATCAGTCATCGCATCGAGCACCTTCACGGATACAGGCAATGATATTCGATATACTCAATGATGTACCGGCAATAAAAACATAAAAGCCAAATAGAATGATACAGATATTGAAAATTAATTGCCATTTGAATCGACCGAGTTTATTAGGCCAGAATGTGATTGTTTCACATATGGGAGGAAATATAACTGACAGTGCAGTTGAAGCGACGGCACCAACTGAAAATTCAAAAGTAGATATGTCTTAGTTTCAAAAGGAATTATGAGTCGACACACCTAATGAAATCACAAGACCGAGATTAGGTATCAATGCAGCGACAGCAACTAGAAAAGAAAAGGAAAATGTCATTTAATCTTATTGTTGAGAGAAAATAAAAAGAAATCCTTTGAGTAAAGTACAGAAATGTCATCACCATCACGAAAGAATATATGTTCTCTTTGTTTGATCGAAGATGCTCATCAAAATCGTAATGTTATCTGACTTACAGGTGACAACAATCAATCCAATACGAAATACATGTTCAAACTTTGCTTTAGTTCGTTCATTGTATCTGTAGAGAACTTTTCGGCAAATTCGTGGCCAGAGAAGTGTAAATGGAACATAAAATTGAAGATTGTATGTTAAAAAGATAGCAACAGCGTACATAATTTTAGTGAATTGATACAATCTACTCAAAAGTCGGCCAATGTACAAACAAATAGATACAAACAAGATTCGTACTTGTTATCATTGGGCAGATTTAAACTAATCGATCCACGCGCGTCCGAACCATATCGAATATAACCGAAAAATCCAACGAAAAAGTACAAGATAGTTACGAGATACATTCCTGTATTTAATACGCCATTAAAACCACCATATGCTTCGGGTTCTTTCATCTTCTGTCGCACTGGTAAAACCTTAACATATTAGTCATTACTGAAATATTCGTCATGCTTATTTTCATTACTTACCAGAGCAATACCTTCGAATACATACATTGCTGATGCGAAGAAAACAGGCCACTCTGTCGGTTGTGTTATTTTCGGTAACGTGTCCAATGGAAGATGTGAACGTATCACATATTGCATAATTATACACAAACCTATAAACAATCGACAATAAGCCATTTTTCGTTATGTCAGCATGTTGTTTTACCTGCAAGACTAATCACATTAGCAGCAAGCGAGAATGGTGCAAGAACTTTTAAGCTTCGAATCATTGAGAATCCAATGACAAGCACGAGCATTATCAATTGATAGATTTGTATTGCTGGACTGTTCGGAGTATAATAATCGACGACTTGTTTGATACTTGCTGGAACGAATACGAAATATACACAGCAAAAACCGAGTTGAATCAAGACAATAAAACCATCAATAACGAATCTAATCACACGAATGAAAAAAGCGTTTCGCTCGACAATCCTTCACATTAGTTTCTTACTTTCCCAACTTAGCATAACGTTGTGCAACTCGCCATCGACACGTTTCTAGCGTATATCGCATTATATCACCAAAATCACATTTTGTTCGTGCCGTGCTGAAAAGTAAACGTAGAGGATACGAGTACATGTATTGTTATTTGTCGTATTTACTGATGTCGATAATGTTCATGACAACGTAGTAGTTGATGCATGCAATAGAGCGTCACAGCACCCATTATCCAAAAAGCGACGGAACCAAACTATGGAGACAGCGCTTGAATTTTAGTATCTGTTAGTAATATCAAATGTTATACATACAACTAGCCCAGCTTTTGACAATGCATAAGGAAAAGCAAGAATGCCAGCACCAATATTACCTTTAAGCAAATGCATTAATGTTTCCGTATTTCTAAACATGATAAGAGTATCTGGTGCATGGATGCTTGTTCATTGTTCACGAAAGAAAGCTTTATTTACGTTGTTCGATGTTCAGTTGAATCACCGGCAAACGAAGCAACAAGTGGTGCAACCTAAACATACCAGATATTTCTCCAGCAAATTCCTAAATGATTCTTGATAAATCCGAAAAAGGACAGAGATTTTCTCGAATACAACTCATATGACTAGAGAGTATATTAATCAATAGACACATACAGCTTCGTTTTCGTTATTTTCATCCACATGTGATGCCATTGAATTTAAGATTTCATCTTCTTTCAATACGTTCGATAGATCGACTTTTTCCGAAATTGATGCATCTGTGATCGGTGTCGATGTTTGAACGTCCGGCACTTTTGTTAGAATTTCTGTTTGACTTTCTCTCGGTGTTGGCACGTGTGAGTCTGCCATTGAATATTCCAATCAACGGAAAAGGAAATGTTTGTTTTCAATTTTGATAAATAAAAAAGAAAAGACGAAAAAAAAAATGTTGCCTTCTCACATGTTTCTTTCTCCTTCATTCGTATTCTTCTCAATAACAAATCATCTGGTCTCGACCAATAAAAATCTGTCATTGAACCTCCTGTCAAATTTGCTTTTCACGTTGACTCTAGCGCACCAATTCTGCTCTGACTAATCGGACTCTTCGATGTATAATTATTATTTGATTGTTGTTGTTTATACATTTTTCTTTTCTTTTCAAAGAATCATTCATCCTGAAATATTTTCTCTACCTGTTTAATGTAAATGTAAATAGCTGAGTGATTTTTTTATTGAAATTTCTTAACAAATATGCCAAAAAAGCCTGCCGATGGAAATAAACCTCGTGGACCTATAACAGCATATGCTTTATTCGTTCGTACATGTCGAGACGAGTTACGTCGAAAACATCCTCAGTTATCTGTCGATTACAATGTTATTGCAAAGAAATGTTCCGAACGTTGGAAGGCAATGAATGAAAGTGAAAAACGACGTTTCAATGAAACAGCCGAATTGCAACGAAAACGATACAAGGAAGAGCTTGCTACGTATCAGCAAGAACAATCTGCTAAACAACAACAACAGCAGCAGCAACAAACGGCACCAGCATCGATTCTACTTCAAACACCAGCAACACAATATCTTGTTGAATCATCTCAACAGCAGCAGCAGCATACATTGATTATGCCAACTCCTGTTCAACACGCGTTGGTGGCTATGCCGAAAAAACCGGCAAAAAAACGGAAACCAAAAGATCCATTAGCGCCAAAGAAACCATTGTCAGCATACTTTCTCTTTTGTGCTGATGAACGACCCAAAGTTCATAGTTCTCAATCAGGTAAAACCTGTCTACTTTTCTTTAAAACTCATAATTAATCCGCTCTTTTCTATTAGACTAATTCTGTTTTCATTAACTTCTATTCTTCGAGTCTTCTATCCTTTATGCAGATGAGAAGTCTAATCTAAATTTTTTCAGGGCTTGTTCTGGCTAAACTTTAATGTCAGTCTGTTCTTTCCTATGTATGTGTGTATTAAAAAGGGAACAGAACATGCCAAGAGTAGTCTTTTGCTTCGTTTGAATGAATCACAGGTTATTTGATTATGCATTAGAGATTCAAATAGATTTTTCAGCATTACAAATTCGATGAAGAATAATGAATGAAGTGAGTTATGCGCCAAAAAATTTGTCAGGTCGTAAGCATAGGTCATATTCAAAGGCGAGATAAAAGTATCCTGAAAATATGTTTTTAGACAATGTCTTATTGTATTCGACGTCTATCTGTGAAATACGTGACAGAAGTTTCTTTACCAGAGTCGTGATCTCGTTGTTCGAATAACTCTTCTTATTGTCTATTGTGTTTTACGAACAAAAATATACAGCCAATTATAGATAACCATTCAATAATGATGCACATACATGTCACATATTCCTTTAGTACTCGGAAGTTCTTTCGGACCATTGCGAAGATAATCTCTATCGTGTTTCTTGTTTTTCAATAGGCATGTCAGTAAGCGATGTGGCTCGCGAACTGGGTGTACGATGGAAGAATACTCCCGCTGACTTGAAAAGTAAATACGAGCAAGCAGCATCTGAAAAGAAACATGTTTATCAAGCTGAAATGGCTCTTTATAAGCATCAGACATCCTCAGGCTCGTCTCCACCGGAAACTCCACAAACTCCATCAACGCCTCATGATTACCAGTCTACATTTACATCGTTACCTATTCAACAATTGGTACCATTACAATATGATCCCAATGAAAATCCATCGGAATTCGATTTGATTACGAATGGAAACGAAGATCCATTGTAGTGTGGAATCGAACATTTTCATTTTTGTTTTTCTTACTTGTTTTTTGTGTCTTTATTTTTTTTCCTTCTTCAGATGTCGATTCTGGTGCATAAGAAAAACAAAACACGAAAATTAACGCCAGAATAGAACAAATGATATGTATTTTTTGCTCCGTTCTAGAGGCCATGTGAACTAATTCCATAATCAATAAACATGTTTGCTACAACATCTTCTACAACCACCACTACCACCACCACCACAACAACAACAACAAACAATAGTAATATTCATCCATCGTCATATATCGTTGCGACGCCAACAACCGCCGCTGCCACGACGAATGCTACACTTGAAACCACAGCCACTAATGCTACGACACCACAAACATTAAGTGATATCAAACTTATCTGCACTCAAAGAAAGAAGGTTTGTTTGCTGACGTCTTTTCATACATGAAATAGCGAGAAATCGTAAGATTTACATTCAATTGTTTCGAAACGACCGTCCTGATGTATGTGTAAGAAGAAAACCTGTAGGAAAGAATTTACATATAGTGATAAAAATTGAAACAGATTGAAAACATATGTATGATTTCTCCCTCAATTAAAATGCAGATAATGACGAGAACAAAAAGTTCTGCGTGTCCTTTAAGATTATGCAATATCTATTGAAAAGCTTGAGAATTTCTTTGTTCTAGAAAACCAAACGTCATATTTATTTAACATTTGTTGAAAGTTGTTCGATAACATCTCCAACTGACCATCCATCCATTGAAGTGACACGAAAGGCAAATGCATCGTCTCCATATTTATCCTATTCATTAAATGACTGTATTTCCTTTGAATATTTTGATACAGTGAAAAATGATTTTCAGTCATATATATATGCTTATTTCGAATCGTTCACTGTATCCATCTTATTTTCCGATGAAGATTTTGACAAAAAATCTCTCATTATCAAACATTTGGAATATATGTATCACAGTAAAACGGAAAAACCTTCAGAAATCAACAACAACGCACAAGATCCTTCGCAACCTCAACCAGGACCATCCCAATCACAACAGCAAGCGCCGATCTTACCATGTCCGTCAACGACTGATCACATTCTTCATGCATTTGATGTCTGCCTCATTCCGTATGGCCCAATTATACATCGTGATCACACTTTAAATGGTCCAGCGCGTCTCTATTTCACTACAACAGATCTCTATATCGCATCAATTAATTGTAATCGCGCTGACCTAAAAACCACAATTACAAATCAATGTCCATCGAAAGACAAAGCAATCCTATGTATTCCATATTTTACAATAAAAAACTATGGCAATCGTTCGAATATCTTTCTGATTGAGTTAGGCAAATCCAATTATGGAAATGGAGAAATTCATATGAAATGTTATTCATCATCATTAGCAAGTACAATTCATTTATTAGTGAGTCCAGTGATCGAGGAGCGACCATTAATTTTATCATCAGCATTTCAAAATCAATTGTTAACACACAAACGTATCGAGAAATTGAAAACAATTCATCCACCTGTTCAATTGACACAAGATACGACCAATCATCCAATCCTAGATCCACAATCACCATCTTTAGCCGTGCTCAAAAAGAAATCATCTGAAGCAGCCGAGGCCGATTCTCAGCAATTATCGTTAACAACTGCAACACCAACAACTAATGAGCCGAAATCACGTCTAATTGTTGGTTTCTTTCGAACATTGACAAAAAATGTGTCACATTTACGGCGTTCGGCAACGTTTCATCACAACAATAGCAGTAATAATACGAATCATCAACATAACGAACAACTCATATCGTCGGAGATCAACAATTTGCTACCGAAAAATAAATCAGTTGCATTCAATATTGATGAGAAGACGTTTCACAACGATCAGCATCAAATCATTCTACCCGAATCTCAGAAGAAGGCGGAATCAACATCAACCGTATCATCAACAATGACGAAACAAACAAGTGAGACTATGTTAACATCAACATCGACATTGAATACCAATAAACAAGACTCAACCATGGGCACATATATCGATATGGGGCCGACAGTTCCGAAAATCGATCAAAATCAAGAGGAAGATATCAAAGATGAAGTAATTGTCAAAGAAACAACAGCAACGGCAGATATTGGTGTGAATAGTATGTACAACTTTTATCGAAGTAGACCGAAAGTTCTCATTGATGACGTCATTTCAGCGACAATCAGTTTATCACCTTGCGTTCGTTCAGCAATCATCGTTGGTAATTCGGTTCATTTGATTGCTGATGGTATGCTAGTTGATCTTGATCAAACGATAATATTCATTGAACGTTTTCTTTTAGAAAAATCTCTCTTTCCTATTGGTCAACGTTCGTTCACATCTCCTGCTAGTGTCATGCAACCATTCAAAACTCAATTGAATGGTCCATCATTGAGTAATCCTTATGGTAATTATAATCTTCATCTTTCTGCAAAAGTCCAATCGTACAACTGTCGAATATTTCGTTTAGGTACATCAGCAGACTTGATTACGTCTTCACCCAACAGTTTCAAGTATGTTTTTGACGAAATCACTTTTTCGTTCTGATTGAATTCTACTTTGTTTAGCTCCATCCCCCAAGCAAATTCCGTTTCCAATTCACAGCAGTCCCTGTTTCTTTCGTATGGTATAGTTACATTCAATAAGAATGATCTAATAACAAATGAACAAACTGAACGTGCGACTAGTCCACCGTTAGATGGTTCTACACTCGAGCGTCGTCTCAATTCCGATCTTAGTCTGATGTCTATGCCTCAGCAACAGCAAGGACAACAGCAAGGTTCTATTGTTCATCCTTTAGATAACGTTTTGTCTGCATCTAGCACGCAAATCTTCCGTAATCTATCGGTGTCAGCAAATAACATTGGTGATACAACATCCGGTTCCATTCGAACTCCTCACGGTTCAATTATATTCTTCGATGAAAATCTTACTGATCAAACAACAACATATCTTCTTGGCTTGCCTTCTGTTATCAATGATGAAACAATACAAGCGAACANTTCTATTGTTCATCCTTTAGATAACGTTTTGTCTGCATCTAGCACGCAAATCTTCCGTAATCTATCGGTGTCAGCAAATAACATTGGTGATACAACATCCGGTTCCATTCGAACTCCTCACGGTTCAATTATATTCTTCGATGAAAATCTTACTGATCAAACAACAACATATCTTCTTGGCTTGCCTTCTGTTATCAATGATGAAACAATACAAGCGAACACTTCTCGCTTACCATCATTCAATTTAACAACATCCATTTCACGTCCTCAACTGTCGCATATCGACGAAAAAGAAGCTTCCGCACATGATCCTTATGCTTTACTTGAACCAATACCCTCGAAAAATACCACACCCAAAACATCGTCAACTACACTGACAAATCCTTTGCCAACATCGGACAAATCTTTGGATTATGTCGATTTACTGCTGCCATCACACGTCAATACTGAAACTTGGGACAATCACGATCAACAACAAGCCAGTAATTCGGATGATCAGATCGACGAAGCAAATGATTATGAAGAAAATGAACGTGAAAATCCCGAGCAATCATCAACAAAACTTTACACTGATATTGATTTTCATCAAACTCAACGTCGTGATCGTATTGTTCAATCGGCAGCTCGAGCAAAAAAGGAAGATCAAGCGCCACCATTTGTTCTCTAGAATTAGCGAAAGAATCTTCTATTTTTTGTCTTATTCTTCGTTTTTATCTTTGTCTTTATACGTTATAACAGTGCCAGTTTTTATATCTTGCTCAATAATTGAAAAAACACAAAAGATTTTTTCAACGTATCTTCTCTTTTGTTCTGTCAATGGTGTTTTTTATTCTCGGTGTCTATGTAATGTGTTCAATTCGAGTTTGTAAATAAAACAAACGACATTTTTGTTTGAAAAAAATGTTATGTAGATATACATTTTTCTTTTCTGGGCTGTTTTCTAAAACAAACAGAAACGTACAAAACAAATATGATTTAAAAGGCGTGCCAGAGATTTTCTTTTTTGCTTAATTGATTCTTTGGCGACGCAAAGATCGAAGAGAGACATGCATTGTATTAAATTTCAAGTTTACCATGGCGGAGACATATACGATATGGTTCTCTCGACTGACTCATCGGATCCATCAGTAGCAGATCTTCAGCGACAAATCGAACGACAATTTCATATTCCAATTAAAAATCAACGCATTTTATTCAAAGGACAAGATCTACATGAGAATCAACAGGGTAAATTGAGACGATATGGTATTACCAATGCTTGTGCGATTCGTGTAGTTGGACATAAAGAGTTATGAAGATGATTGATAAAGAGTTTATCGGTTTTTTGTGATATTTATAAAGAGGAATACGAATAAAAACAATAACATTGATGAACTAATTAGTAAAGCGAAAGTGCGATTAATAAATTANTTTTATTCAAAGGACAAGATCTACATGAGAATCAACAGGGTAAATTGAGACGATATGGTATTACCAATGCTTGTGCGATTCGTGTAGTTGGACATAAAGAGTTATGAAGATGATTGATAAAGAGTTTATCGGTTTTTTGTGATATTTATAAAGAGGAATACGAATAAAAACAATAACATTGATGAACTAATTAGTAAAGCGAAAGTGCGATTAATAAATTAAGTAAATAGATTTATCGTTCTTGTCTTATTTCGTTGTCTTGAAAAGATAATGAAAATTTGAAGAAACAGAAAAAACAACAACAATAACAACACTACCTTGCTCATCTATCTCAATATTCGTTCCTCAAAATAGATGTGTATAACTTCAGCAACGTAACTTGAGTTCTACACGATAGGTTATCTTTTATCAAAGTTTTCTATTCTAGTTGATATTTCAAGACTATTTTCAGAATAAATCGAGCAAAACTTCACAATCATGACCAATGCTTTCTCCTGTTCTGTTCCCTCGTCATACACTATTTACTCTTTCTTCCTTTTCTTCTGCATACACGTCGAGTCACATGCTCGTTGTGATGCAGATAAATATGAGTGTTTTTTCTTCGCTTTTAAAAATATACGCAGGTGTTGTCATATCAGCAATGACAAATCATCTTTAACCATATCTTAGGCCAAATCTGGACAGATAAATTCAACCGTAGCGCACCACTTTGCTCTTATTCTATTCAATTGTTTCAACACATTCGCATTTACCTTTACCATGCAACGACAACTTGTTTTTCTCGTTGTCAGTATTGTTCTTTTCGGTATTAGTTACACATCAGCTGCCAATTGGGCTGTGCTAGTAGCCGGTTCAAATGGCTGGTACAACTACCGTCATCAATCTGATGTTTGTCATGCTTATCAAATCTTACACAAAAATGGCATTCCAGATTCTAACATCATTGTTATGATGTATGATGACTTAGCTAAAAATTCACAGTATGTTAATGTGTAGAAAGATTCAGTTCTTTTTCGAATACTTAGTTTTATTATTTGAAGAAATCCAACGAAAGGTATCATCATCAATCATCCAAATGGACAAGATGTTTATCATGGTGTCCCACATGATTATACTGGCAAAGTATGTTCGTAGATTGAGTATGTTCTAAAGAATATTCAGTCTTGTTTGTGTACGTATAGGATGTTACACCAAAAAATTTCATCAATGTTCTATTAGGAAACAAAGAAGCTATGAAAGGTATTGGTAGTGGCAAAGTTCTGGAAAGGTAAAAGAAACTTAGAAAACATTGAGAATGTATTTAAAAAGAAATCGTCTTCTTTTCAGTGGCCCCGATGATAATGTCTTCATCTACTATACAGACCATGGTGCTGTTGGTAAGAGGAGAAGTCTTTTGGCTTTGAACGCATACTATCATTTTCGTTCTAGGATTGGTCGCTTTTCCCACCGGTGTTGTAAGTCTATATTCGATCTTCTCTGCTGAGAACTCAACAATTTCGACTTTGATAACTATTTCTAGCTCTATGCCACGGATTTAAATACAACTATCACCAAAATGCACGCCCAGAAGAAATACAAAGAAGTTCGTAGTTCATTTCTTTTCTCACTCTCAATCAAATTCAGCTTTTCATTCTAGATGGTTATCTATATTGAAGCATGCGAATCTGGTTCAATGCTTGAAAACATTCTTGCTGATAATATCAAAATCTATGGAACAACTGCATCTAATGCCGAAGAATCATCCTATGCTTGTTACTATGATGACAAACGACAAACATATTTAGGTGATGTTTACTCGGTCGTCTGGATGGAAGATTCCGATGTCGAAGATCTTAGCAAAGAAACATTATTTCAACAATTCACAGTTACAAAACAAAAGACTAATACCAGCCATGTCATGCAATATGGTGATCTTGTAAGTAGAGCAAACAATCACAAGAAATTATCTCACCATCTCTTAACTTCTTTCTTTTAGTCTCTCGGCAAAATGGATACTGTTGGCGAATTTCAAGGTGAAAAGAGCAATTCAGTTAAACCTAGCCGTAATATCTTGAAAGATCGTTACAATGAATTACTCCGTGTAAGTTGTATTCAAATCTACATGAAAACGAACGAATTCTGTATCTCTGAAACATCGTTTAGCGTGATGCTGTTCCAACTGAAGATGTTCGTATTTCAATCGTTTCTCGTCGTTTAGCAGCAGCTGATGAAAATTCAGTCGAAAAATCCAATTTAGAACGTGAACTAATTCAATTACTCAACGTATGTGTTCGGAAATATTCATATGCACTATGTTGATATTCACTTTAGGATCGTGCTACCATCGCCACACGTATTCAACAAATTGCATCGACAGCGTTATCAATGAACCGTGGTGATTACCTCGAAATGGTTACAACCAAACGTATGCGACTCACTCAACATGCCTGTTACAAATCCGTTACTCAACGCATTCAGAAGAAATGCTTCGATCTTCCAGTATGTTCTTCATCAGAAAGTCCATATTTCATTCGAGCAATTTCTTTTGCTAATTTAGAATGAATTCGTCTTGAATAAACTCTACATTATGGCTAACTTATGTGAAATCGGCCTATATGACTTTACCATCAATCAAGCTGTTGACCAAGTTTGTCAAGAACGTCTTGATTTCGTCTATTAAACGACAATAAAAAAAACGCAAAGATGGAGAAAAAACAGTTCACATGTGACCATCGATGTCTTTCATTGCTTTTTTATTCGTTTTTTTTATTCTTTGACTTTCTTTAAATAAATATTCTACCATCAACAACATGTTCACGCGAACGCACATACATCGTGATTGTGAAGATTTTTCATCTTTCTTTTCCTTTCTCGCGTACCTTTTTCTCTTACTTTTAAGTACTGATAAGAATAACAGCGGCAATAGTAGAAGCAACAACAATAGAAACAAACAACATTTTCCACCTTCATTACACGTACATCAGTCGATGACGAATACAGATACTAATAAATTCTATTTCGATCGTAAGAATTATTTCGTACGATTTATTCCGCATGGAAATGAATCGGCACAGACAACCAGCAGTCAAATCAGTAAAAATATCAGCCATGCATTAGAATATTTTGTTGCGGATCTGAGACGTGATCGAAATAAAACAATAGAACGATTTCTCAGCGAAGAAACTCTTGACAACATTTTTAGCTCAATAGCACAACTATTGTTGAATGAAGATAATCGGTAAGAATACATTCCGCTCACCTTACAAATACATATTTCTCTTTTCTAGAATTTGTGGTAACAGCGCTTATATAATTGGTAGTGCGATTGAATTTGAATCCGGATTGAAACGATTTCTAACTATATTCTCACAAGATCGTACAGAAAGTACCGTGGATATCATCAGAACATTAAGCAATTTATTATCACATTCGGATTCGGAATGTGCAATGAACGCAGCGGGCATACTTGGTACTATAGTATGTAGGTTTCTCATTTAAAATTTGTAACAGTTTTCAAAAAAACAACTATGAAACTCACACCACTAGAAATTTTCTTTCTGAATGACAAGAAATGCAAATAAGAAAAGGAAAAAAAAACGTTACACGTTGCCTTGATGAGTTGATTCTAAAACTGTTACAAGATTTCTTTGTAAGACTTCTCATATTCAATTAAATTGTATTTTATTTCAAAGTGCGGTTCAAAAGAAGGGCGGAATCTAATCTTAAATCACGCGTGTATATCACAAATGATCACTAATACATCATCACTATTATCTTCTGAAAACTCATGGATTTCTAGTAACGCAGCATTAGTATTGGCTAGGTAGATATGCATGGCATGTATGGTAACTGAATGATGCTGTGCTATTCTAGACTCACTGTTGAAGAACTTGGTTATCAAGCAATATTAACGCATCCAAAACATCGACAGATTTTGAATGAGATGCTGGCTGCGCTTGACGTGAGTTATCCGGGACGAGCAACGAATGCTGCGTTTGCAATAGGACGTTTGATCGAAAGAGACGAGGGAAAGAAAATCTTTATAGCTGCTTGTGGACAATACAAAATTGTAAATGAAAAGTTTTCTTGAAAATATTATTGTTAACCGATTGCTTTAGTTTGACGCGCTGTTATTGATGATGGAAGTGAATGAAGAAAAAGGTGTAAATAAGAACGCTTGTTATGCCTTAAGTTGTATATGTACAACGCCATTTGGTTTTCAATTGTGTCTTCAATATAGCGATACTTTCCATCGGATTCTGCTNTAGCTGCTTGTGGACAATACAAAATTGTAAATGAAAAGTTTTCTTGAAAATATTATTGTTAACCGATTGCTTTAGTTTGACGCGCTGTTATTGATGATGGAAGTGAATGAAGAAAAAGGTGTAAATAAGAACGCTTGTTATGCCTTAAGTTGTATATGTACAACGCCATTTGGTTTTCAATTGTGTCTTCAATATAGCGATACTTTCCATCGGATTCTGCTCGCAATTGAAACAATCCTGTTATTAATCGACCCTGAAACAGTCTGGTTTGCGTTAATGTGAGGCTGATTCTAGTACTCATCCAAATAAAGTTGCTTCTCTTCTAACAGGTGCTTGCGAACAATTGTGCAATATGAAGATGCTAACGAACATATCTGTCAGTCAAAAACATTGGTCGAAAAGTTACGAGTAATACGCGACAAATGGACGACGCATAAAGACATTCAAAACGAAGCCAAAGTTCTCTGGTATATGATACATCGAAATATTCAACCAAGTTGTCCAAAAATTAATGGTAGATAGAAGAATTGCTTTTCGCTCTGTTTGCATGAAGCGCACGTGGCACTGATTGTTTTTATTTTCGAAGAATGTCTCAACAATTCGGCTGATATATCGTGGGACATAAGTGTACATAGTTGGAATGATGATGAGTTGCAGTTTCGAATACTTCTCAGTAGGTTTTTCTTGATTGCATTTCTTCGATGTTAAAAAATTCATTGCTTATAGATGATCAAATAGTCGCTCAAACAAATCAAACAAAATATCAATTAAAAGATTTGCAACCGAACACGATGTACTATCTACAAATTCAATATATCACACCAGAAGGAGAGAATATCCGTAGTGATCCAGTTGCATTTCGTACTGATGACGAATGTAAGCGGAACAAACAAACAAGATATCGAAATTTAGTAAATGTTTGCCATTTAGTGCCTCCATCTGTAAATAATCTCCGTGTTGAACGAACAACTATGACAGCTGCTCGTGTAGCTTGGGATCCACCAGATCTTACTACTTGTAACTCACTGCGAGCTTATCAAATTTATTTAAGTAAGTCTGTGTGATGATTTATGAGCGTCGAATACAGATAGCCATATTTATTCTGCAGATGATGAAGAGTACGGATGTACACTTGATTGTGAGATGACCATTGGTTCACTTTCAGCTAGTACAACCTACCAGGTTGATATATGCGCTGTCAGTAATAAAGGTAAAGGACCACGAGCAACAATTAATGTTACTACAGCTTCAGCAGGTACGTGTTTCTTATATAACTATCCATAATAAGATTTAAGTCTGCTTTATTTTATTTATAGGCGATTCCAATCCAGCACCACCAACATATTCAGTTATAGGTCGACGAGAAATATTCGTCAAATGGCAACCACCTGACGTGATTGCTGGTCGTCTCACTCGCTACGAATTATTTTGTAATCGACGATGTATATATTCCGGTACAGCTCAAGAACATCGTGCAACAATGCTCAAATCAGATACAGAATATACTATGGAAGTAGCGGCCGTCAC